CCCCAGCCTTTCCCGCCTGCCGCCTCCGGGGCTCTCTCGCCCCCGGCTCCCTGCCCCGCAGTCCCCTCCGCGACATGCAGCAGCTGCCTCAGCTGCTGCACCCCGCGCTGCCGCGGGGACTGCAGCCCCCGGACCGCTCCTGGGCTCCCTCCAGCCCCGCCCCTCCCGCACCCTTCAGGGGCCCCCTCTCAGGACCCCGCCTGCTTGTTTCCCCCTCCCCACCCTGCTCAGGAGCTCACTCTGCGCCCTGTCCCCATGTCCCAAGCACCTGACACTCAAGACCCTCCCTAGCCCTGCAGCTCCAACCCTGCTGCGGTGCTTGGGTGAGGGGGGATGTTTGGTGCCGGCCCCGCCCCCCGCTAGTGCCGCTTCCAGGATCCCAGCCCCGCTGCTGGGCAGTGCTGCAGCACCCTATCCCCTCCCCCCATCCCTGCAGTGGTCCCGGGAGCAGCGCGCCGCAGCCGCAGCATCCCCCTCCCCTCCGCACTGAGCTGGCCGCTGCAGCAGCCCCAGCCGGTCCGGCCACTGCAGCCCCCGCCCTGCCCGCCCCCTAGACGCTTCCAGAGCTGAAGAGTTCTAGCTCTCATGGAGGGGAGGGGTAGGGGACCTAGAGGGAAATATCATGGATAAGGGGAGCTATTGGTGTCTGAGCTCCACAACTGTATCCTCTCCTTCCTGCTGTCAGTTGAGCCGGGACTACTTGGTTGAAGCCTGTTGTGGGGGGTTTTGAACCTCACTTTCCCCACCTTCCCCCTTGGCTGAAGGAGATTTCTCTTACGGGGTTATACCCTCTTTCTAATCTCTTTCTGCCCTCAACCATTCCTGCTGAGGAAGGGCAGGGTCTCTCTGTTCCATTCGCTCTCCTCTCCTGGTCTCTTGGCTAGACTGCAGGGCTATCAGTGAGATGCAGCAGGTGTGTGTATGTGTTTTACAGCATCACCCACCAGCTCCTGATGTGCAGCCTGATGATGAGGGACTGTGGCTCTTCCCAGGAACTAGATCAGGAGATAGCAGTGGAGTCGCACTCTGCCCCAGGCCTGTTCAGGGTCATGCAGTGGCCACATCCTTCTGCCTCCTGTCAGAGGGTGGTGATCACCTACCCTGTGGGTGGGTGTGATTTTGACTGGAGGTCTGGTGATGGGAGCATCACTGTCCTCAGACCCAAGTTGTGTCTGTGTCACTCTGCCCAGCTCTGTTTCCCAGTTCTTTCCCCCTTTTCCCTCCAGGGGTGCTTTCTCCGTGGTCCGCAGGTGTGTGAAGAAAACCTCCACACAGGAGTATGCAGCAAAAATCATCAATACCAAGAAGTTGTCTGCCCGGGGTGAGTGTTCCCTATCTTGGCCTCTCCCTGGAAGTGCCTCCAAGGGCCATGGGTTCATCTGAAGATGCTCCAGGAGTTGGGGGTTATGTGGGTTAGCACTTAGAAGAGAATTGGACTTTCAGGGTGAGTGGACTTTGATGCCAGACAGTGGCACTGGGAACTGGAAGTGCTCAAATACAGTAGAATGAAGGATGTAAGAGTTGTAGGTGGAGGCTTCAGGGAGGAGTGGTCCCCAAAGGCTTAAGGAAGTTTGGTCCTTAGTGGGGAGATAGAGGATATGGAGGGTGGTGGGTGAATGGAATGGCGAACTCTTGATTTGGGGCACTCGGAGCCTGTCACTTTGGGGCAATGGTAGCCCCTCCAGACCTAATCCTAATCTGTAGGCCCCAGTAGTGATTTAGGATGGAAATACAGTAAGTGAGCAGTGCTGACAAATCAGCCTCCCCTTGCCCACCAGGCGGCGGAACAGACTCCCAAGGGAAGGAAATCTGTAAACATCAGGGGAGGCTGCTACTGGCGAGGTCTTCTCGGGAACAAATCCTGCCAGATGAACTTGATTGCTTTTTTTTTTTTTGATCAAATTACAAAGTTGGTGGTGTGGCAGCAGATGCAGCCTGTCCTGGGTGGAGGGTGATGCCTCATGGTCTGGAAACCCCAATGGCTTAGTCTGGTAGGGCCGCACGGCTCTGAGTGTGAGGAGCTTGGAAGGCCCAGGCCTCAGAGCCTGGCTTGTGAAGCCAGGAGGGTGAGGTCCTGTCTTTCACACCTAGAAAGTAGACTCCCTGAACCTTGTATTGGGTGCTTGCCAAACTTACCTCATCTGATAGGTGTAGACCCAGCAATGTGTGAAGTGCTCTGTGAACAGGTCTGGTGAGTAAGGAGGTATGTGGATGGCTCAGGTCATCGAGGACTGAGAGGTGCAGCTAGGGGACAAAGGTTATATGATTCAGTGAAAGGAATTAGGGCTAGACAATGAGTGGCATAGATATGTATTAGGAGCCAGGAGAGATGCCCTGGGGAAGATGTTGGTGGTGGCCAGTAATGACAGTTATCTGGAGTAGGGGATGTAGTAGATATCTCCAAATCCTCGGAGTAGCTATAAAATTCCACCGAGCTGACAGCAGGCTTCTGTCATGTCAACGGTTGTTCTGGGACCTATGTAGCAGGGCCATGACTGGCACCTGGATGGGAAGGTCTCTCTCTGTCCCTACCAGCAGGGCTTGTCTTGCCATTTCCCACCCAGCCTTCCTCTTGCTCTTCCTGCCTATGGCTGTAAAGTTGACTTATTTGTTTATTTTCTTTTTCTCTGGGTACCTTGAGTCTGTGGTAATGGTTACCATAGAGATATGTGGGTGGTCAGATGCCCTCCTCCCCTGGGAGGGCAGTGTAGGCTGGGCTGTTTGATAGAAATCCTGTGGGCAGGGGTGGAGGGTGCAGGCAGGGATGATAGATTGAGAATGGATTTGTCCCCTTGCCCATATGCATAGCCCTGGTGCGTCAGAAATGGGGCTGGTGTCTGGTGTCTCAGTTAATGATGCAATGCTTTGCTTTCTTCATCTCACCAGTGTCTTCTGACCCAGGGGCAAAGGAGGGAGACAGCTGGGAGCTGAATTCTGGGATGTGAGGATAGCCTGGTGTGGTGACTTTGTGGAGCTGCCTGTCCTGGCCTTTCATTCTTCTACTCCTTCTCTACCCAGCTGAATTTCCCTAACTAGTGTATGACGTCTTTTCCCCTTCCTCACCTTCTTTCCACCTTGCCCCATCTTTCCTAACTGGTATCTTTCTATCTATACCCAAACTGGACTAGATTTGATTGCTTTTTGATTTTCCTTCCTCAAGAAAGATTCTTGTATAAGATCGTATGTTTCTGACACTAACTCCCCCCCTCTTGAGATGGTTATGCCAAGTCTGGGGCTCAGTTGAGTGACTGATGTACCAGGTTACTTTGGACAGGGGCCTGGTCCTGGCTGATGGGCACAGGTGCAAAGAAGAGGGATCAGGAATGTGTAAGTGCTGGTGCTGTGTGGAGGTGAGAGAGTGGGAGGGTACTGTTGTGGAGATGGAGAGAGCGAGGGGAGAGTTGGTCTGTAAGTATGGGTATGGGGGGATGGTGTGAGCTCCTGAAGAGGGCTAGGCCAGGGTACCCAATAGGCTGGTGCCCATGGGGTTAGGAAGTCAGGCTGTGCCTTCCTTGCAGCCTCTCAGTTTACGTTGTATATTTTATAAAGGTGCAGCAGCTGGGGCTGGGTTTCACTCACCACTGTCTGTCTGTCTAGTGCTCCACAGGTGTTAGATTTCTGTGTCTGGGAATGTAGTGAGCCCACCAGGGTCATCCATGGAGGGTCTTGGGGGGGGCTTGCTGTGTTTGCTGAGTCTCCCTCCCTGTTTTCTTTCCTGTTTGTGATTCTCTGTGCTACAAACGCAAGGAAAGAGTATAGAGCAGCTTTTCCTTGGTATCAACAGTGAGGTAGCCTAGGAGGCACAGGGAGAGAGAGTACCTGGTTTTGGGTAGTGGGATGGGGAGGTGAGAGCTGGATAGGAAACCTTTTGGTCTTTTGGTTCTTGTCATTATGGCCTCAGAGATGCACCTGGTAGCTGTGTTGCAAGGTAGGAAGTTCATGTGACTTACATGGATTTACATTAAGCGTGGTCTTTGTCTGTGGGCCTCTCTACGTAAAGTCATTGAAAGTCACGTAACATTATTCCATTTGTTTCAGAACAGTGATAGGTGTGCAGCTGAGATTCTTAACAGAGTCCATGGTTCCAAACTGAGCTCCACTAGGCTGGGAAAAAAAAAAAACTAAACCAAACTCACTGTCATCGAGTAGGTTCTAGCTCACAGTGATCCCCATTGGGTTTCTAAGGCAATAAATCTTTACAGAAGTAGATTCCTTCCACAGAGTGGCTGATGGGTTTGAACCACCATCCTTCTGGTTAGCAGTCAAATGCTTTGGGCACTATGCCACCAGAGCTCCTTCCACAAGGCTGAAGGACGTATTTAAAATAGGCTTGGATGCAGGCACTAGTGGGCCAGGTGATGGCAATGATAAGTCGTTATTTTAAGATTTAAGAGCACCCCCCAAGGAGCCTGAGCCCTTATGTCTTTTTCTTATTTTTAAATCTTCATATTTCCTTCTTATCTTTATTCATATGCATACAGATTTTCACCTCGTGGAGCATAACATTTTATATCCTGCTTTCTTCACTTATGTTCAAAGCATTTTCCTCATATTGCTACAGTTGAAAGGCAAATGGTTCTTTCACTGTTCTACGTAGTTTAGGATTTATCCATGGAACAATTAGAATCGCAAGGAACCTCTGTATTGGGGCCATTTATCTGGATCCCACTTGCTTTCACTAAGATGGGTATTGGAATAATGCTCTTGGCCTTACTAAGGAATGTTACCAGAAACAGTAGTATGAGATCTCTTACAGCACTCAAGATACGTGTGTGTGTGTGTGTGTGTGTTTACCCCCTCTGTATGCCTCATGTAAAGAAATTTCTATTGAAGCTGTTGTTGTTGTTGTTGTTATTTGCCATCGAGTCGGCCCCGACTCATAGTGACCCCTCCTTGGGTTTCCAAGGCAGTATCACTACGGAAGTAGGAATGCCCAACCTTCCTTCCGAGGAGTGGCTGGTGGGTTTGAACTGCCAGCCTTCTGGTTAGCAGTCAAGTGCCTTAGCCACTATGCTACCAGAGCTAGATGTAAGCAAAACTTTCCTCTTCCTGAGGACCTGGGAAATGAGAGTAGGGACCATGTCTGTTTTTTTACTTCTGTGCCGGCAGGGCCTAGCTGAGTGTCTAGTACATACTGAACACATACATGTTAAATGAATGGATTAAGAAGAGTACGTAACCAATCATGGTTGCCTTTTGGCTTTGGCTTTCAGGAAACTCAGAGCCAAGTTGCTAGAGCCCTGCACCTGGTACTGGCTAGGGTTCCTCCTTTCTGATGCAGGGAGCCAGGCTGCAGACCTGACATGGCTTCTGGAGGGTCACCAAAGCTGGAGAAGAGGACAGATGAGGTTAAAGATCTGCACTTGGGGCATAATACAGGGTGGGTGATATAAGGAGACAGGGTAGCGAATAATCCTTCCTTCCTTGTCATTAATGGCTTTATAGGGACACATTTGGGACATCCTCTAAGTAATTTTCAAATTCACTATGCATAAGGGTCACATCTAGTATTGCTGAGGAAAATGCAGATTCCTGGGTTCTGCCCTGAGAGATTTTGCTTCAGGAGGTCTGGAGTGGGGCCCAGGAATCTGCATTTTTGCTAGATTCTCCAGTGAATTTCAGCAGATGGTCCCTGAGCCATGCTTTAACAAGTGCCATCTAAAAGCAGCAGCAACAATAGTCACTCTTGCAATGCTTTCTGGGATTTACCAGGCACACCTTGGCCTGGTGCTCTCCAGGTGGTTTCTCTGCCTGTATGTGGCCATCTGTCCATATGGACTGTTCAGTGACTAGGGGCCTCCCTTTGTCCCCCCCAGCCCCCCTCCCCAGTGGTGTGTCAGTCCATGTCAGAGACTGTGGCAGGCTGAGTGGCTGGGGTTGTGGCATGTTGGCCACCAGAAAGGCAAAGGCTGTCCCATTCTGGGTCCAGCTGGCCCTAGAGACTGAAATAGGATCCCCCTGGGTGATGCCAGCTGAAAGTCCCCACCCCCTGAGTGTTGGCCTGAGTAGCCCCCATGACATTTGTGTCCCTTGTGGTATCTCCAAGTGAGACTGCCCTGTTAAGGATCTGGGTGAAGTGAGGGAGAGAGAGAGAAGGGTAAAGCAGTCATGGAGGAAGGAGAGAGGGAGAAGAAACCTGTGCAGCACTGGCAGGCTGAAACTTGAGGAAGCGTTTAAGGAGGTTGAGTGCAAAACCATGCTTTCCTCCTAAGGATCAAAGAGACCAATTTCTGTGACCTGAGCGTTAGGCATCCTGCGTATTAGTAATTGAACTCCTCTGACTCCTCTCCCTAAGTGGATGAGGAACCAGGCTGTAGGCCC